CCCCCAGCTGCTCACGATAGCTGACTCCGCCCCTGCCTAGACCTAATGCCCCTGCCCCCGGCTCTTAGCTCCCCGCTGGGTTTCCGATCACCATCAGTGGCAGGGGGCTTCTTCCGTCCTTTCCCTTTCGCCTCCCAGCATTGTGCCTACATATGCAAATTAGCTGCCATCTTTGTTGGCGGTTAACCGCCATCTTGGCTGGCAGTTAATTTGCATATCGCCCTGATTAGCCAATGGGAAGGGTAGCGGTCGTACGTTAATTACCATGTTTCTCTTTTATTAGATAGGATATACACACACACACACACACACACACACACACACACATACACACACATACATACTAGAGGCCCGATGCATGAAAATTCATGCAAGAGTAGGCCTTCCTTCCCCCAGCTGCCGGCACCGGCTTCCCTCCAGCACCCGGAACCTGGGCTTCCCTCCTCTGGCCGCCTGCAGGTACCCAGGACCGGGCCTGGCTTCCCTCGGGTTGCCCACAGGCACCCGGGACCCGGGCTGGCTTCCCTCCGGTGGTGGCTTTGTCAGGAAGGACATCCGGAATGACATCCAGAAGATGTCCAATCTAATTAGCATATTACCCTTTTATTATTATAGATAAGCTCAGCCAACCTCCAGGCAACACTGAGCAGTAGGTACCATTATCATGAGGGCATCTTACAGATGAAGAATCTGAGATACACTAAGGGCAAGTAATTTGTATAAGGTGCTAGAGGTGGATCTAGGATTGTATCTCTTTAGAACTTTCAACCAAATTATACTGCTCCTGGCTACTACAAGAAACACTGGCTTAGGAATCAGGACACCTAGGTTTCCAACTTGACCTTGGGCAAATCACTGCACTCCCAGTATGGGAAAGCAGAGGACAGATGCCTATTTCAGAGATACAAGGCTTCTGTAGCTCGAAGGTTGATCCAACCAGACCTCTCTTAATACAGTAAGATCAACTGGGTGTAGCCTAATTTAGGGGATGTAGCACCTGGCCTGCAATCAGGCCTTTGCCAGTCAGATGGTATGTGGCAGGTGAATTCCCACTTTGGGCCTGTTCCCATCTGTTAAGTGAGGGTTGGACAGGCAGGCTCCAAGTGCTCCTCCCACTCTAGACTTCCTGAATTCTTTATCATTCTATAACTCATACACTTATGAGAGTGTAAAATTAATTGGTTTTAAAAAGTGCTTACATTTGGCTAGCCTTCATTATAGAGTACAAATTTAAATATAGATGCGTCTATTTGCACGAATTCTAATTTCTCATTTATTTTAGGCTAACTTGATTAGATATAAGTATTTCAGTTTTATTTACTGAAATCACTTTTGCACAGGCAGAGGCCATGTGGTATGGTTGAGGGGCATAGGTTTTGTCAATATTTGGGTTCTAGCTCTGATATTTAAGAGCTATGCATCCTTGAGTAAGTTGCTTAAATTTCAGGTTCACTCATTGGTAAAATGGGAATAACAGCACCTCCCCTGCACAGTTTCAAAGACTGAAAACAGTATATAAAAGGGCCTCACAGCACAATGGCACATGGAAAGCCCCCAGTAAATAAAAACCAGACCGTTAAAAGCAGTGAGCTCACATCAGTCTGATAATGTACAACCGAAATTATTCAAAGAAACGCTCAACTACACAGTGGGCTCAGAGAAGGCAGCTACCCGCATACCAGGAGCTCTCAATGGACTTTGTACATTAGAATCATCCAGGGGCTTTTAAATTCCTGACACTGGCCACATCCTACCCCATAAGCAGAACCTCTGAGTAGGACCCACGCTCCCGTACCTCACAGTCCAGCCTTTTTAGGTTTGCTGTCAGAATCCGCATCTCCTGACCTACATGCTGGGCCTGAGCTCCATGGTAGGCCTGGGAGCCATGCAGTGGTTCTCAACCTTCCTAATGCTGCGACCCTTTAATACAGTTCCTCATGTTGTGGTGACCCCCAACCATAAAATTATTTTCGTTGCTACTTCATAACTGTAATTTTGCTACTGTTATGAATTGTAATGTAAATATCTGATATGCTATGTGTGTTTTCTGATGGTTGCGACCCACAGGTTGAGAACCACTGCATTAGGGCTTGGCATAGGCTTTAGTGAGGGAACCTAATGGTTGGTGTGTGCTTAGGGTGGGTTACTCTTGCCGTAACAAATTGCTTGGAAGTTGTGTGGCAGGTGGAACAGCTGGCCAAGACACGAACTGCAGGGCACCTGGAATCTGCCTAGGACCCTGGCCTCAGGGAGCTGACCATCAGCTACAAGAGGCTGGCCCACCAAACAAGGAGTTTTGTGGCCCCAAACAAGAAGGGCTGAACAGGAGAGTGTGGGGGAGCCGGAGGGAAAACCACTTCCAGATGTCATCAGGTATGCTTTCAGGAGGTGGTGGCTTTGAGCTTGTCCTTGTCAGAGTCTTGTTTGATTTGGACTTGTCGGGAACCTAATCTGGTGAGCAGGAGCAATGAAAGCAGGTGGCGCTGCAGTAGCGGCTCAAGTTTGCTCCTAATTTTCCACATAATTCACGCAGAGACCTTAGTATTCACCCATCATGGCTCTAGGATCTAACTCTGCACTGACGATAGGTCATAGTGGCACTCAAAGCCTGCTATCCTTTATTTGTGGAAGAAACAGTTTAAAACACACTTTCCCAGACACCCATCCCCCTTTTGGAATGGAATGTGGAAATGGTAGAAAAAGAAGGGAAAGAAGACTCTCAAGACAAGGTACCAGGTACTATTAAGATGGCAAATGTCACCACTGTTTCAAATGAACATGCAGGGCTCATCCCAATAGTTTGACTTTATTCCATCGTCTCAACATGATCTCAGTGCAGAGCCACCTCAATAGAGTAGATCTATTGGGGCCATTAGCTGATTATATCAACTTTCTGTGTAACTTAGACTAAAGGGGATTAGAGGAACCAGATCTGTCTGTTATGAACCTCTCGTGGAACCAGCCAGTGACAGACAGCTGTTTAAGACTTTACAGATCTAGTTCCATTTTCTCATGGCCTGCTCTCCAGACTATATGCAGCAAGTGGCCTGTGGTCAGACTATGGAGCCAGGAGGGCCTCGGCCATCAGCCACTCCCACATGGGAAACAGCTGACAGAAGGGAAGTGACTCGCCTCAGGGCCAGGACAAGAAGTCTGCTCTTTCTTGCCTCCCTGCCTCCTAACAGAAGATATCAAAGGAATGGTATGTGGCAGCATGGCCAGGCCAGAGAAGGGACCAAGCTAATGACTTTAAATACAAATAGTTTGAACCAATGACTGGATAAAAATTGGTTTCCCTAACATGTGCTCATCGTCCATGAGCTGCCCTGTTTCTGAGACCAGCCCCAGAAAGGAGTGCAGGAAAGGGAGCAGCATTAGAATGAACTCCAAGGCGCGACATGAGGAGGGTGGGCTGGGGCATTTAGACAACCTGCACGTGGCTCAGTAATTCTATGACTGCTTCTTTGGTGAGAAAGACCACTTCGCTGGTGTTCTGGCACCAAACCTCAAAATGGGCAGGGTCCTCCAAGGCCCTCTTGCCAGCGATGATCACAAAGGGGTAGCCAAATTTGTTGGCATCCTTCAGTCTGTTTCCAATGGTCAGATGGGTCCTGTCGTCCAGTAGGATCTCCCCACGAAGCTGCGGCACTGCCTCTGAGATGTGGTCGTACAGCTGCCCCGTGAGCTCTGCAGCCGCCTCTTCCTTACTGCCCTTCTTCGGGGGGATGAGGCAGACTTGGTAAGGAGCCAGGAGGCTAGGCCAGCGAATGCAATCTTCTGTAGAGAGAACCTCAATGGCAGCAGCCAAGATCCGTGTCACACCTAAGCCATAGCACCCCATTTCAGCCAGGGAAGGTTTGCCATGGATGTTAATAAACTGGGCATTGAAAATGGAGGAGTACTTGGTGCCCAGGTAAAACGTGTGCCCCACCTCGATGCCTTTGGTTTCAGTCAGTGGTCCCTGGCAAGCAGGGCAGTTCATTTGAGACGAGCCTAGCGTCTCCACGTTGGCCGAGAAGCTGCAGCTGGTGCAGACAGCAAACCGGTCCTCTCCGATCTCCACTGGGAGCTGGAACTCGTGAGACATCGTGCCCCCGATGCTGCCCACGTCTGCCTGGACCTTGACACACCGCAGCCCCAGCCTGTCGAACAGGCTGCCGTAGGCATCACATACCAGGCTGTAGGTCTGCCGGGCGGCCTCTGGGGAGGAGTCGAAGGTGTACATGTCCTTCATGTAAAACTCTCGGCCACGGAGAAGACCAAAGCGGGGCCTGGGCTCATCCCGAAACTTCCTTGTCACCTGGTACAGCAGGAATGGGAGCTGCTTGTAGGACAGTGTCTTCTGGGAGGCGACCAGGGCTGTAATGGCTTCCTCGTGAGTTGGTCCTAAGCAGTATTCCTTGCCGTGTCTGTCTCTAAGTCTTAGCAGCTCCCTGCCCATCAAGTCCCACCGGTTGGAGGCTCGCCAGAGCTCTGCTGGGCTGAGGCTGGGCATGTTGACCTTCTGCCCGCCAATGGCCTGCATCTCCTGGTCTATCATCCGCACCAGCTTCTCCATGGCACGAACAGTATAAGGCAGGAGGTGGTAACAGCCGGAGCTTGCTGGGTGGATCAGGCCCACCTGCAGCATCAGCCGCTGGCTCTTACAGGTCAGGTCGCCAGATCTGCCCTCCACTGGGAGCACCTGGTCTTCCCGAAGGTTCTGGGGCTGGAACATGCAGGACAGCGCCAAGCGCTTCCCTCTCCCTGGGGCACAGTGGGGAAACCTGCGGGGAATGTACCCAGAGAGCTGGTGGTTGCAGGTGGCCAGAGCGGGCAGTGCTCTGCATCTTGTCAGCAGCCCTTCCATGACACCCTGACACAGGGAAGCACTTGTGCCTGGAGAAAAACGAGTGGTGCAGAAATAAGTGTTAACTGTCGACTATGAAGTAGCCAGCTCAGTTTGGCCCCAACAAACCTCTACGACAGCCACTGATTCTGCAGATGCAAATCCTTTCATTTTGAATATCCTAGCAGATCCAAGTATACTTCTCTTCCCTCTACTGCCATGTAAAAAATATATTTTCCCACTTACAATAGCGTACTGTGAAGAGACATGCTTAAGTGGCGAATGCACAGGCTCTGACACCAGGCAGCCTGGATTCCAGAGGGCTTCCCGCTGACTTAACCCCTCTGTGCTCAGCTTCTTCATCTGTAAAATGGTAATAGGACCTACCTTAGAGGTTCATTGTGGGAATTTAGAAGAGTTATAAAAAGTTATTAGAACAGTTATCTAGCACATTGCTATTGTTATTATAGAAAACTGGGTCAATGAGCTACCTGTCTTCCCCCAGTTGCTCTGCTCTGTGCAGGCAAGGACCACATCTAACTTGCTTTTCATTAAGCACACAGCAAGGGCTTACTAGACATTGTCTGATGAATGAGCACGTAGGTTTCTCTATGATTTTACCAAATATTCACATACTTCTAATGAGTACAACATTTCATTCATTGACTATTAAGAATGATTCTCCTACTACCAGCGAGTTGTTGGTTTTCTCCTTTATACATAATCTACAATGAACAGGTTTTTGTTATATATTTGGAAGAGAATTTTCAGGAATGAAATTACTGAGTCAAAGGGTATAAACTTCCAAGGTTCTTGATTTCTATTGTCAAACTTAGTGAGCACCTCTGATTTCAGCATATGCCATGGAGCAAAGCTCCCCTGCAGTATGCCCAGAATGGGTTCCTGATCCCTCTTAGCACTGGGACGCTGGAATTCTCACGGGTTGCCTCCAGCTCTCAGCCTCAAGTCCTCCAGCTGGCCCCTCCAACCTCAGGCAGCTTCATCCACTTCCCCTGCACACTGTACAGATGTCCTCATTTTCTGTGTGGCCTATGACCTGACAAAGGTTGGGAGGCACTGCTACAGAGGCCTAGTGTGACTGCATGGAGAAGTATGGGTCCTGAAGGCAGAAAGCATGTGCTTCACACCTGACTCCATCACTTGAGATTCCACCTCAGGCCAGCGGCCCAAGCCAGAAAGCCTTCACCCTTGGCTCCTCCCAAAGCAAGATTTCTCTCGAGTCTACCCCCTCCTTTCTGACCCTTACTGTCTCGTCCTTGAGTTAGTCCAGTGGTTCTCAACCTTCTGGCCCTTTAAATCCACCCTTGGCTCCTCCCAAAGCAAGATTTCTCTTGAGTCCACCCCCTCCTTTCTGACCCTTACTGCCTCAGCCTTGAGTTAGCCCAGTGGTTCTCAACCTTCTGGCCCTTTAAGTTCCTCATGTTGTGACCCAACCATAAAATTATTCTCGTTGCTACTTCATAACTGTAATGTTGCTACTGTTATGAATCGTAATGTAAATATCTGATATGCAGGATGGTCTTAGGCGACCCCTGTGAAAGGGTCGTTCGACCGCCAAAGGGGTTGCGATCCACAGGTTGAGAACCGCTGATAGCCCCTCAATACCACCTGTTACATTACAATAGACCAGTGGTTCTGAAACTTTAGTGAGCATCAGAATCACCTGGAGGGCTTGTTAAAACACTGACAGTGAGGCCTCCCACACACAGCTTCTGATTTCGTAGGTCTGGGGTTTAGGCAGAAAACCTGTGTTTCTAGGTGATGCTGATGCTGCTGGCCCAGGGACCACACTGGGAGAACTGCAGAAGCTTAACTGTGCACCCACTCTGATTTGGGCTGTGAACTCCATGTGGGCAATACCCATGTCCATTTTGTCCCAAGTTATATTGCAACATCCAGCACGGTGCCAGGATACAGCGGACATTCAATAAACGTCTATCAATGAATGAACTGAATGATCCTTGGTTCCTATCTGCCCAGTCTCCATATTTCAGATGTACTGATTCAATCACTCCTGTTTATAATCCATTAATCTCCCCCCCGCCCCATCATAATTTTCTCAGAATGGTACCAAAGCCTGAGGTAGACAAGGGAGTAAGTCCTGACCTCAATTTTCCACGGTGGAAACTGAGACCAGGAAACGAGTATTATCCAAAAGTTTATGTGATGTGACTCCGCCCCAACCCAAAGACAGGATGCACAAGGGAAGGCGGACACCAGGATGCCAGGTGTCCGCGCCCAGAGCCCTCTCTTCACGCCGCCGCCTCCCGCGGGCGCCTCAGTCCTCGCTGTCACCCACGCTCACCAATGGCAGTTCCAGCCAACACCGTCCGCCGGTCTAGCACACGGGAGCCTGGAGCAGGCTAGAGGGGGGGCGGGAGGATGGGGAGGGGAAGTTCCGCCTCCCTCCTTTCTAGCCAATCACAAGTCGAGCCCAGGGGACTAGCCCCACCCAACTTGTAGACAAGTGAATGGTTTTCCGGAAGCTCAGCTAAGGAGAAATCACCGTCCCGGAAGTGCCCTCTAGGAGGTAAGGAGGTGTAACTCTATGGTCAAAGCCTTTTTTCCAGGTTTTGAATCTCGTGTTTCCTCCCTTGCCAGGGCTCGCCCCATTCTCGGACTAGGAGAACCACGGGCAAAAGTGTAACTGAGGGCAAAGTGTAACATTGTACAGGTAATCCATATACAATGGACCAAGTTGTTTCAAATCTACCTTATTATTTTACACGCTTTCCATCTAAATAAATTTAATTTTTTAAACAATTGGGAAAAGGCAGTCTTTAAGACACTACATCAAATTTTCACTCATAAAATGTTTTTTAAAATATATTTTTATTGATTTCAGAGAGGAAGGGGGAGGGAGAGAAATAGAAACATCAACGATGAGAATCATCGATCAGCTGCCTTCTGCACGCCCCCTACTGGGGATCGAGCTGCAACCCAGGCATGTGCCCTTGACTGGAATCAAACCTGGGGACCTTCAGTCTGCAGGCGGAAGCTCTATCCACTGAGCAAACTAGCTAGGGCACTCATAAAATATTTTTTGAGCAGCTACCATGTACCAGCCACTGTTGTAGAAACTGGGAATAGTGAACAAAAACAAAATTACCTTCTCTAACCCTTCCAAATAGAGATAGTCGCTTCCTTTTCTGCGCTCCCACTGTACACAACTCTTCAGAGTACACCATACTGGAACAATTTTCAAACATGTATTCAATGTAGCTCACATTCTAGTCAATAAACAAATACAGTGAAACTTAAGGGAAGGCCAAAGAACAATCATCAAGAGAAGTGGTATTTTAATGCAATTAATTTAAAAATGAACGCAAAAAGTCTATGGTGAACAAGTTATCAAAATTTTATGTGAAGACAGGATCCACCAGTCAGATGCTGTCAAATACTCTGGAGAAAAAGTAATTAGAGAAGGGCACAGGTTGGAGGTTGAGTGGTTGCAATTTAAAATAGGATGAACCGATTTGGCTCAGTGGATAGAGCGTCGGCCTGCGGACTGAAAGGTCCCAAGTTCGATTCCAGTCAAGGGCATGTACCTTGGTTGCGGGCATATCCCCAATAGGAGATGTGCAGGAGGCAGCTGATCGATGTTTCTCTCTCATCGATGTTTCTAACTCTCTATCTCTCTCCCTTCCTCTCTGTAAAAAATCAATAAAATATATTTTTTAAAAAATGTGGTCATGCATTGGAGAGTGTTTTGTGTGAAAACACACACAAAAAGAAAACACAAAGCAACATTCTTTACATGCTCTCTGTAAAAACTAGTGATGAAAAAGTATACCAATTAATGCTGCTAGATCATGTAATGAGATTTTTAGATTCATTCAGTCACATTTACTGGGCATGTTATGTGGAAGGTAACATAATAGGCACTAGGGATGATGAGGTAAATAAGAAAGTCCTTGACTTCAATTTTTCCACGGTATGGTAAGTACTACAATGTAGATAAAGATAAAATACAGTCATAGGGCAGAAGGAATATGATGAATGCAAGAGATAAACCTCCTGAGGGAATGCCAGGAAGGAGGGCTTTGCCGAGGAGGTGAGCTTGGAGCTGATCTGAAGGATGAATGGGGTTTACCAGGAAAATAATGCCCGTGGGAGTGGAGTACAATGTCCCGGCAGAGGGACCAGAACACTCACAGGCACGGAATCAGGAAATGGTGAGCAGGTGTGAGGTGGGATTTAGCCTGAAGGATGGATGGTGTTTACCAGGAAAAGAATGCCCGTGGGAGAGGAGTACAATGTCCCGGCTGAGGGACCAGAACACTCACAGGCACAGAATCAGGAAATGGTGAGCAGGTGTGAGGTGGGATTTACATCTTCCTTTCCCACCACTCCTCATTCAGTGCTTGACACATGGGCCAAAGCAGTGGTTCTCAACCGTGACTGCCCTGGAATCACCGTATGCACCCAGGCCCAACCCTGCGAAGCTGGGTATTGATCTGGGTGGGCCTGGGCATCAGTACTTTATAGTCCCTGGATCCTAGTGTGCAGCCAGGTCTGGATTTGCTGGCCTTGAGAAAAGGCACTAGACAACCGGGGTAGGGGGTAGCAGAGATGGTGGAAGCATGTTGCCGTCTCAGTCTTACAAATGAGGAACTGCTGTCTGTCCAACCGGTTGGAGGCTGGACAGAGTTGGGCTAGACCTGAGCTCTTTTGAATTTAAGAGTGTGGCTCAGCCTCTGCAGCCTGCACTGTGGTCGAGGCTTTCCCCAACGAGTGCCGTCCCAAAGGCTTTACGGAGGCAATATTCCCCACACTTCCTCCTGGGAGGCAGGAGGTGAATAATCTTTGGTATATTTCGGGATCCAAAGTAGCCTAATAGTTCTCCCTGCTCCCCGCGCACATTATTACATCCCTTCCAATCCTGGAAAAGCCAGCATCCATCCTCTGCACCCTGAGGTGTTAATTATGTCTCAATTAGCAGTTCCCAGGCTATAGAGCTTAGTGGTATGGAGAGGCCTAATGACTTGCTGTGTTTATACACCCCACATCTTCAGAGCACTTTACCAGTGGTAACTAATTAATGCTCACGACCCCCTTGGGAGAACTGCTGCCTTTTACTTCAAGTTTTCAGGAGGCTTTCCAGCCTGGAGCTGCAGAGCCTGCTCAAGCCAGCCATGGTCAGAGTGAGTTTGTTCCCCACTGAGGAAGTCCAGGGTGGTGGAGACCCAGAATGTAGCCCTATCACTGCTAGCAACTTCCTGTGTGACATGTCAATCAATCAGTTGATCCATCACTTATTGTGTGCCTTGATTTACAGAGTTCATTCATGGTTAAAACTCCACAAGTTCCCTAAAACAAAAAATAAAATAAAATCCCACAGAACAAATTATTCATTGTCATTTAAAAGAAAAGGAACCTACACTTGCCTTGGTTTCCCTCCCCTTCCCTTCCTCCTGCTGCCCCCCCCCTCCCCCCAGCCCAGCCCTGGGGACACATCAGGCACTTAATGGTTTCCCTTGGCCCCTGGCCTGACTGGGAGTCCCTGGGACAGGCACAGATTTTGCTCTTTTCTGTACCTTGAATACAGAGCCTGGTCCAGATGTAGGATTAGCAAAGGGTTTTGCTTTTTGTTTAATCAACAAATGAGTGGATGGTTTGTCTCTCCCTCAGATTGGAGCTCCTGTGAAGACACCCTGAGTCATTCTGGCATCCAGAGCCCATGCCTGCCACAGAGGTGCTCTGAGCGTGTGCTGAATGAACAAGGGAAGGCAGAGTCAATGGTGAACTCCCTGACCTCTGATTGCTCATAACCTCCTGGAGAGGCCGCCCCTCAAAACGGTAGTCCCAGCAGCCTGAGGTCAGAAGCTGTGAATAGGGGAAAGCAAGATGCTGAGGGAGCAGCATCGCAAGGATGCAGGTGGTGAGATCAAGGAGGGCTTCTTGGAGGAGGGGGCATGAATTGGACCTTAACTAGGAGCTTCCCAGGCTGAAAAGGGCAGATAAAAAGACATTCTAGTCAGGGGGAGTAAGTCACAACTGGCTGTAAGTAAGAAGGTTTAAAAGTAGTTCTGGCTGAAGCACAAGAGTGCTCGGGCGTTGAGAAAGCACCACAGTGTGGCAGGGCCTGCAGGACGAGGCTGCAAGTTTCTCTTCATCTGAGGCCAGTGAAACCTTTTCTGTGAAGAATGATACTCCCCTCCCCACCAACACACACAGTAGTAAGATGAGGTCACTGGGCAGTGTGAGAAGCAGGCCTGTGGGCAGTGGAAGGGTTTTATATGGGGGAAGGACATGGCCAACTATGTTTCTTTGTCTGAGTGAGGCGTGAGTGTGAACTCAATTGGGAGGGAGGAGAGGGGGAGAGTTCTGATGGGTGACTCCTTCAATGGCCCCGACGGGGGCAGTGTGGCCGAGAGGAGGGGACAGACTTCAGAGGGCCACTGGGACAGTCCATCTGATGGACTTCTGAGCCCAACCGCACCCAGTTAGCCCAGCCAGGCCAAGACAGACTGGACTGGAGGAGGGAGGGTGGCTTGAACTGGAATCCTGCCCAGCTACTTCCTGGCTATGTAAACTTGGGCCAGTGATTTCATCGTTTCTTCATAAGTAAGACAGAAACCATAATAGCACCATATAGGGTGTTCCGAGGAGTCAATGAAAGATGTAATTGAAAGCAACTTGTCCATCCCTCAACCTGTTCTAATTCTGGGGCCCACCATAAGTGTCACCAGCAGAGGGGTTCGTGCCCTACCCCTCGGGATAGAAATCAAGAGAGTACGTGAAACAGATTCGAAAGAGAAGAGGTTTACTAAAAACCGGGTGAGAGGAAAAAGGGAGAGAGGGGGCACTTGATGCATCAAGGGAGTGCACAGTGACAGAGAGTGGCTCCCACACTGCGCTGGGGTCTGGCTTATAAAGCGCTGGGTTTCTTTGCGCAGGTGCAGAGTGGGTCTCTGTTTCCAGGTTTCCGAGGTGGGGGTGGTGCTTGCATTGACTGGCTCAGGCGCAGATGCATGGGTTTGGGGAGTACCCGAAGGAAAAACTTAATCTTATCTAGAAGAAGCTCAAGAAGTAACTGAAGGACATCCCCGTCCATCTAAGAGAGGCTCAGCCTGTCGCATAAGGAGAGAATTATCATTTTGCTGCCACCTCTAGTTCTAAAGGACTCCCCACTCTGCCTGTGTGTGGGACGCCAACCCCCTTCTGTCCTCAGGGACCTCCTCTCCTTGGGCCCATAAGCACCACTTGTCCATTGGTTCAACGCCTAAGATTAAGTTGATTAGAGACCAGAAGGGGACTGGAAAGGTAGGCCTCTTTTTA